AAATACCCTGACAAGATTTTGGTGTGAATTATTACGGTCATAATTCAAAAAATTAAAGTAAAAACATTTCATTGCAAAACTGCTGTAAGGTACATATTTGTAGCCTATATTTATTTTCAGTATTGATCAAAATAATCATGATAATGATTTTTTCCATAATCGAGCAGCCCTAGGTCAGAATGTGTTCAAATAAAGCTCTGATTAAAATCTGAGAGGCATCAGACAGAGAAGTGTTTACTGTTAGCATTACACCTCCAGGGAATGTTGATAACATCAGCAGTATCAAAATTGCTGAAGAAAATAGACAATAAACAACAATACTGAAACTCATTTAGAAACAAAATCAAACTTCTCTCACCTCTGATTAACATTGTGTGAATTCTGTGGGCTTACAACTACACAGAAATATACTCAGTTAAACAATATAACAAGGTGTTAAATTATAATGTATGTACCAATGAAATACTTCCTACTTCCAAAGAAGTTACAGCTATATTTAACTCAATAAAAAATTCAACATACAGTGGACTTTCTATCCTTTTTCAGACTACTGTACTGGCAAAAGCAGCTTAGCAATGGTCATGAAAAATAATATTCTGAGAGCCCTACAAAGAGGATTAACACCTAAAGCATCAGATGAGACACCAACAAATGCCATCATGGACATTAGAGTCACTATTATGTCTGTGGGAGATTTGGCTTAATACACATTTGTGACCCATTTGTGTCACTTCACCTATATTCCAGTTGAACTGTTATCTTTTGACAAGCTTTCCAATTGTTAGATTTGAAATTTATGTTTTAATAAAATTATTCTGTCCACTCTAAGGGGAAAACAACTGGACTTCGAAGAGACATGGACACTGTTTTCGAACATTGGGGTTGACAGGACTAGACTGGACTTGATTTGACTGACAATTAATGTTTATTTGCTCAATGTTTTTGTGCAGTTTTGTGTGTGTGACGAGTATGGACAGAGGGGTGTGTCGTGGGAGGGTTTTGTTTTTTGTTTTCATTTTGTAAAAGTTTTTTTTTTTTTTAAATAAAAACGATTCAGTTCAAAGTTTCAAGGCATACAGAAGAATTAAAAAACTATGAACAGACAAGCTAACACAAGAAGGCCATTTCAGAACATATCTGTGCAGTTCTAATCTACAGGGTTCACTGTTTTATCAGAATAAAGCAGGATATTTTGTTGTTTGTGGAGGAAATCATGGTACTTAAAAAAAACAGCCATCGCAATTTGCTAATTTCCTCCTCTCAAACTGTGATTTTGATTTGATTGAGATTAATTTTACAGCCTTACTCTATTCCCAAGAGCCTAGCCTCAAGTGAAACCTCAATTAGTTTATAATGAAAACAATGGCTGACTACGCTCACATTAAGTGCCTGTGTAGCTGCAAATGGAAAGCTGCTCTTACCAGTCTGTGTGTGCTATACATTAGTGGCTACTTGATCTGCTCAGTTACGGAATTGGAGGACATATTTGTGCTGCCCATCATTTCTGGACTGGATTAAGGTTTCTCAAGCTCTGTGGTGTCCGGCAGCTGTGTCACCTCTGGGTCTCTTTTTGTCTACAATCCGCCCTCACTTACAGCAGTATAGTGGATGGGCCCATTATCCACCGAGCTCCAGGGTTCTAGGGCTACAGTCAGCTAAAGAAATTCTTGTTTAACTAAAGACATGTCCTGCTGATCAATTAGTTGACTGAAAAGGGGGTGTGGCAAAAGCTCAAAACAGATCTGACCCAAACTGCTCTCACAAGGATTTCACACAAAAACAACTATTTAAACGGAAATGTACTGGAAAACGGAGCATTTAAAAAAAAGACAGTACATTTGTGAATCATGAATTTAATCTACTTTTACAAATAAATACAAAAAAAACAAACAATAATCTTCAGCTAACTCTCACTCTCTCCTTCTCCTACTCCTTCTCACGCTGTCAGGCCTCTTGACCCAGTCTACATACAGGTTAAAAAAAAAACTAAGTGCAAACAGGGGGCTATGAGGCGCTCAGGTGCTTCTAATAATTCTAGTATTTGCACAAAAACTTTACAGCTATAATTACTAATAAAAAACAACTTGGTAGAAACAGATAAGCAGCCTTTCATTTACGTTGATAATTTGTTTTTCAAATATGCAACCAAGTATGTTACTCAGTAATTTGCGCTCCACAGCACACACGCTAGATTGAAGCTTGACAGTTTTCGCTTTAACACAGCGGACAAAAACAAAATGTGCTCGGTGGAGAGGCCTATTTAAATAAGTGAGTAAATGTCCAAACACACCATTATTTTCCTGGCTGTTTTTTACACTGTGCATTTGAACGCTTCAGCTTTTATACTCAGCAGTATCTATCGGCTTCTTCAGATGTGTTACTGGAATTGGAGTATTTCAGATTCAATTTACGACATCTCAAATTGTAGTTCAAGAGTTTACATACATTTTGAAAAATCGGTTTCAGCTGGACGCGGCCAGTCATCCAGTTTCCCTACCGTGCATGTCAGCATTGTGACTCACTTGGAGCCTTAGAGAAGCTGACCAGGAAAAGAACTCTGACTGTGTTTAAGCAGACAGCTGCATTAAATGACGATATGACCAAAATAGCAGATCGTCACAGGAATGAAATCACCATATTGCTCAGCCCTTATACATAGATAATAATAGTGGGTCTATACAGGAAAGGACCAGCTTTGAACAATTAATGCCATTTGATTTCTCTAATGATATGCTGGCTCAAATTAATCTAGTTTGATAGCAGTTTAAGTACTAACAATTAGTATCTGGTAGGGATGCAATAATAACCAAAATATTGTGATATTGTATTGTCAAAAGTCTCACAATAATACCGTGGGGTGTCATAATATATATCGAATTACAAGTTCCTTTGCTTAAATGCATTTTTTTAATAGTAGGAACAGCTAATAGACATCGGGAACTATACATCCCATAATTCATTTCAGAAGAAATATGTTTTTACTTGAATTCTTGGAATTATGACAAAAATAATTCACACCAAAATCTTGTCAAGGTATTTTAAAATCAAAAAAGTGTCCTATCTACAACTAGAAAAGCACTCAGAGAGCGCAGACCTCCACCAAGGACTGCCCCCATTTTTTATATAAATTGCGATAAAATCAGTCTTGTGGATCAGATCCGGATCAGCCTTTGGAATATGAAAGAGGATCCCATTGTCCATCCCTGAGTCAAATTTCATGGGGTTTGGTCAATAATTAACCGAGATATTGAGAAACAAAATTTTTGGCCCCATTTACCACAATGTTAACTAAAATTTCAAAGTGATCCAGAATCCAGGATTTCTTCCAGATCACCCCCAAAATGAAATAAGTTCTTCCTTTTCACATTTCCAACAAATTCTGAAAATTTCATCAAAATTGGTCCATAACTTTTTGAGTTATGTTGCTAACAGTCAGACAAACAAACAAACAAACAAACAGACAAACGCCGGCAAAAACATAACTTCCTTGGCGGAGGTAATTATATCAGCCTCTCCAAAATATTACAATAAATATCGTACCATGAAATGCATATTGTGATAATATCGTACTGAGAGATTTGAATATCATTACATTCCTAGTATCTGGAGTTTTTGACAACTCTATCTGCTACTGAAATAAAAAAGTAATACAAGTAAACAAGTAGTATTAAAAGTATATTTAAAAACTATACAACTTACACACGCATATATTCACTTTATAATTTAGACTCTTCTCACTGCATTATTTTATTTTCCACTTCTTGTTCAGTTGTGATGTTGGACCGCTGTCTAATGTATGCTAAGCTGCCGCTGCCATGGTAACCTGGTGCAGGATTTAGACCCAGTTTACAACTAGAGTGATGGGCAAAGGGAGTACGATGCATTTTAACAAAAAGACAAACATATAAATTACAAAACCTTTTACGTGGCAATTTAACAACAGGCGATGCCAATTGATAATTGGCTGCATTTCCTGGTAATTGAGTGGAATCGGCCGAGAAGGAAAAAGACCTCTCCTCCACAGTGCAAACGAGTGGTGACTAACAGAAATAGTAAGGCAATCACAGCTCAATGAGTCACAGTGCCAGCCTTCATTTCCATTTCTGATTGTACAATGTGTCAGAGGAGATCCCCTGGATATGGTGTGGAGATTAGTGAAAGCTCATGGGTGTAATATGGAGGAGCTCATGCTATGCCAGAAGAAGCATGCAGAGAAAACCCCACCAGCAGAGGGCAATGTGCATTCTGTGGGCGTTTGTCACCTGCACATGTGACAGTTCTCCTCAAATATCTCATGAGAGTGCTATGGAGGATGTGCAGTATCACAGTGAGAATCTGGATGGTGTGTGAACATTTGGACAGGGGCACAGCTGTAGCACTGACGTCACTGGCCCAGAGCACATTCATTCAGCCTGTACAGGAGGCAGTGGTCGCGTAGCTTCAGGCAGAAATGTGAATGAGGGTTTCCGGCAGCGACAGCCCTCATGGCTAGTAACTGGTTGCTATGGTGGTCGGGGGGTGGGTGGGGGTTTGAAGGGGGTGGGGTGGTGACTATGCAAACCGGTCCTATCGGCACAGCTCTAGCACTCAGGCACGTTTAGCAAGGGTGCCCCCTCCCCTACATGCGCAAACCCCGCTGTCATTTCTCCTTGAGGCATGGAGGAAGCCAAGTAACACCCCCAGCATCATCAGCACATGCATGCGCTCACATGCACACAAAGGTATGGCAGACACACTCACCGCTGTCAAACGTGACGGTTTGATGCACTAACACTCAGAGTAATGATGGAGGAACACAAGCCCAGCGCTCTCCTGTACGTGGGCATGTCCGCACACTGCCACAGTCTCACACACTCCACAGCTCTACTCTGACTATAAACAAACTAGCAGCATACTAACAGCAGTTTAGGTGTGGTCCATCATGTTCTCCTCCTACACTCTCCAAGTGCTCCTGCTTAAGTCGTATCAGAACAGAGGTGCGTGTGTGTGTGGGCTCTTACCTGTCCAAAATGTCATGACTGGACGTGGCTGTGGCTCCCAGCAGTCCTAGTGCTGCACTCCCCACCGCTGCGGCAGCCCCGCTGCCTGCCTCCATGATACTGACTCACTGCAATGTGCAGCCTGCCAGAGGAGCTGAGAGGGAGGGGGAGGAGGGGAGGATGTGAAGAGGTAGATCAGGAGGGAGCGAGACAAATGAGATGAAAGAAATCACATGTAGAGTCGAGTGGGAGAATGATGAGGAGAAAGAGTGAGGGCTGAAGACACAAAAGTGTGTGTTCAGAGAAAACAGAAGATGGGCATAGAGGCAGGAGGAGGGGGAGAGAGGGAGAGAGGAAAACTGTTAATTGTGTGTTTAGTGTGTAGATCAAATAAGTCATGGTGATGGAGCTTTGCAAAGCAGCGTTTCACTTCAGTGTTGGAGCTGTTGGCTCAAACAGCAGCAGCGGCGGCTCTATCCCTCCACAGGCTCATTCATTACTTAACACTGGTTTAAATGGGCTGTTCTCACACTTTTACAGCAGTGTTGTGGTCAAACAGTGAAACCCGTCAATATAATAGAAATTCAAATTAATGCAAAGTCAGCACACACTGTCACAGTTTTCACAACAAAAATTAATTAAAAGAAAGGACAAAAGCTTAAAATAAAACAGTGATTAAAATACAATTGTGGTGCAAATTGTAAAGTATTCAAGGTGCATTAACAATTGAGAGAAGACTTACATATTAACTGATAAAATAATACAAGAATCCTATGCATTTCACAACATGTTTTTAGAGGTATAAACAATTGTGCCAACTGAAATGGCTGCTTCGATTCGATTGCAATATTGTGCAGCACTACAATGGACTCTCTTCTGGCTGTTGACAAATGTTGACAGCAACAATGGGATGAGGACAACAAAGGGAATTTCACCATTCATCCAGCAACAAAAACATTCTAAATATCTATATCTGAGCTGACTGAAATAGATGTAGAGCAGAGGAGGGATGACCCAGTAAAAGGGAAACAAAAAGAGTCTGAGCCCTGATACTAGCAATAGTCTGTGGCTATGTGTAGTATTCCCAGGAGTATGACAGAGGAATAGGACAGAGAAGTAGGAGGATGTAGGACCCAGTTAAAGCAGCTGCTCCTCTATGGTGAATGCTAGATAGTATGCTCCGGAGGGACGCTCTGCTGTGATTAGTCATTAGAAGTGGGGCTGAAAGGTTTGGGAAAAATATAACCTTTTTAAATGATAAGTGAAATATAGTGAAAAGATTTGCGACAAGAGGATTCTAGTTGAAGTTCTCATTTTAAAAGCGTCCCCAAGAATAGACAAAAAGACTGAAATATGAACTGACAAATGCATACAACTTCTGAATAAGGGTATTTAAAAGTGCACTGTGTAACTTTATAACTGCTGGAGGTGGCCCACATCCTGCTCATCTCCATGGAGGTGATGTTTGGGTATGAATTGTCCACAGTATGATATTAAAATGATCTGTCTTATACATGTGCCATTTATTGCCCCCCCCAAAAAATGACAAAGCATCCATTCCTACCACAAACCTAACCTGTAATTTGGCCTGCAAGTCTCCATGGAGAGTCATGTGTTTATGGCACATCTCCACAGAGACAAGCAGGTTCGGGCCCTCCAACAGACAGGTTACACAGTGCACCTTTAAAGTGACATTTCTGGAATTTTACCGTCACTTCACCATTATCTGATATAACTCATAATTCCAATGTTTAAAATGAATTACTCTGACAACTGATTGACATTTTGGACAGTAGGGCTGCAAGATTAATCACACACAGTTCGAATGGTGAACATGGTCTTCATACTTTTTGTAATTTCTTCTGGACTTTCAACAAAATCCAGTCATTAAAACGCAAATCCAAACGTAATCCCGCAGGAAATAAAATAACATCACAATGCCGCATGTCTTACAAATTGTAGGGATTTATGGATCAGTGTTCTAAAAATATCCAGCGCATCAGTGTCAGTATGAGTGATTAAGCCTCCCCCTGGTCCAATCAGACGCTAATACTTCACCTTTTATGACCTAGTCTCCTCCACAAGAAGAGACTAAGCACTAAGATAAGCAACGTTCATGCATCTTCATACTAGGACCCCACCGATATATCGATTAGCCGATATTATCAGCCGATATGGGCACTTGGAGACATATCGCCAAAATTTAACTGATATGGGCCAATAGTCCACGTGGGCATATTATACCTTGTCATAAAGCTTAGATTGTCTATATTATGCCCACAGGTAAATGTCCTAACATGTGGCGCCATGGAGTAATTTGTCTGTGACGCTGTACTTCCTCTGAATGCATCCCCAGAGTCACGTCAGACTCACATGCTCTTGTTTACACCAGTGCGATCTCAGCATCTGCTCTAAAACAGCACTGAGGTGATGGCTTTGAATGCACTTGTGTCTGATTTAAGATATTAACTATAAATAAAAGTGAACTTCACTGAAGTTTAAGCCAGCAACAAAATTACTGTTTGTTTTTAATCAAAGTGCGAGTGCGGAGAAGACAGGACTGTACCACAGACAGAGGACACACGCAGCTGCTGTCAACATGCTGGATTATATTATTTTTATGCACAATCGTTTTGAGTCAGGATTAAAAGGACACTTCTTTGTGAAGCCTTGTGATCTGAGAGGAGCCTGTGTGAGCAGTGAGTGTTGCAAATGTGTTGGTTTTGAAGCTACTTTTTGTTCTTTCTCATTAATTATAGAGTTATAGAGCTACCCTACATAAACAGCCTGTTTTCTTACATTGTCCTGCTGTAAAGTCACTCTAGTGGCTGTACAGATATTCATGAACCTTAACTGATATGATAATCACACCTCTATTCACGATGAGCCGTGAACAGAGGTGTGAATGGTCTGCATTTATGCATATAATTAATTACCATGGCGTGCACACGTTTACTGCTAAAGGAAAATTGCAGTAGTTTACTTTGTTTACTGGCTAGAATGTCATGGAAAAATGACATTAGGTCTACCTACTGTCTTTAAATATGACCGTAAAGAGGCAGAATAACAATACAGGTAGCCTAAATAAACCCAATTTAAACTCTAATAGAGCCAAACCTTAACTATAATTGAAGATTTAGAGTCAATTTTTACACCACTAAATAGATCGGCTGTTATATCGGTTATTGGGACTTCCAAAGCCTCCAAAAGTTTTATTGGTATCATATCAGATCCAAAAAAAATCCATATCAGTTGGGCCCTACTTGTTACATTTACCGTTATGCATTTACACACTTAAGCATTTAGAAAAGACTGTATTTTACATACAAAATTATAGTAAGTATAATTTTGTATAGTATAAGTATTTGTTTATTATGCTGCTGATAAACTGGACCTGAGTACAGTGATTCGTTTCTGTGTATTTTTTTACACTGAAATGACACATTTCTGTTCTTTTTAAGTCCACAGTTAGTCTTGTCGGTAAAAAAAATAAATGGAGTGAAGAATAGTTCAGACTCAGAAGGAAGAAACTGAGTATTTAGATGTGTTGAAACTGCAATAATTAAAAGTCTGTATTGTTTATGTTCAGGAAAAAAAGCACGATTCAATGTTTTTTAGAGCTGAGATCACAATCCGTTTTATTTGAGTGATGCAGTTAACATCTTTTGCCAGCTTTGGTCAGATAGAAGAAGACCACAGAGCAGACAAGATTTTGAAGTGTTTATAACAGTTCATGTAATAAACGAAGCAAAGTATCATGGAATAGTTACTGTATATTGCTGCACTATAACTACTAATTTAAGACACCTGTAATTCGATATATTTTGACAGCCCATGATATTATTGCGAGACGTTTGACGTTACAATACCATGATATTTCAGTTATTGTTGCATTCGTAGTTCCCATTTGACTGGTTTTGTCTACATCTACCTCCATTGTGTGAGAGAGGCTGACCAATAAGAAAAGTGGGTGGGGAAAAGTATCACAATATGGCGATCAAGAAATTTGCATATTGCCACTAGATTAGACTTTAATTCACCTTATGCAAACAAAATAAAAATATTCCCCATATCTAGAATGTCCTGCTCTCAGTAAAACCATAAATCCATTTGCTCAATGCAGTAAACTAGTCTGCTTAAGACTCCAGTAAACATCAGAAACACATCCATAAATATCTGCAGTAACAACTCTCCAGTAACTGTTCAGAATTTAAGCTTTTACATCAGTTGGAAGAGTTTGTGTCTGCCAAGAATCTAGGCTCAGGCCAAGGCAGATGGGAGCATACTGCAAATACCTGATGCAGCAGAAAAAACATAAAATGGCCGACCTTGAGAGGACAACTGCTCAGCTCTGACATGACTCAAACAAGAATGAATGTATACAAAACACACAGCGAGGTATTTCACACATTCACACACGGTCACATTTCAGTGCTACAGTTATTGTAAGGAGAAACATAAACATTTTACTACTGCATGATTATTGACACCATGACCAAACAGTTGTGGCCGTCTTAATTTTGTTTCAGTTTTATTCTCTGCACTGGCTTCCTGTGCCTCAGAGAATAGACTTTAAAGCAGCTCTGCTTGTGTATAAGTCTCTCCATGGCCGAGCACCAAAGTACATCTGTGACATGTTAGTGTCATATGAACCATCTCGCACTCTGAGGACCTCAGGGACCGACCTCCTGCTGGTGCCCAGAGTCAGAACTAAACAAGGGGAGTCAGCGTTTCAGGTTCATGCAGCTAAAACCTGGAACAGTCTTCCTGAACATGTGAGACAGACTCTTCTGTGACGCTGTTTAAATCCAGACTCAAAACATTTCTGTTTAACTGTGCATATAACTGAAAGGTTTTCATTCCGCACTCTTCTCTCCAATTTATGTCTCTCTTTTTTAAATTTTAATCTTCATGATTATTTATGTTTTGATTTGTTTTTATTATGATTTTAATGTATTTCTTATTCTGTAAAGCACTTTGAATTACTTTGTGTACGAATTGTGCTATACAAATAAACTTGCCTTGCCTTGCCTTATTGTCATGTAGAATCTGAGTGGCTTTATAAAGGTAAATGCATCTCAATTATAAAGTTAGGTTAATGCAATATAAATTACATGAGAGAACAGGTTTACTTTTTGGAGATTAAAACCATGCCACTG